GGTCCAAATGCCTGCTTTCACCTACACACACACACACACACACACACACACGAGTCCAGTGAGAGGGAACAAAGTCAATAGTTGTGGATCTCCAGTAAGCAAGGCTGTCAAGGCTATTTTATTCACTTAAACATAGCATGAAGTGATTATTTTCTCTTTAATACAGACGATGCAAATGTATTTTTCGATGAGTCCGCTATGTTAGCAATAATAACGTTACCTGCTTGACAGAAAGGGTTGCCAGGTTTTCACAACAAAACCCGCCCAGTTGCTACTCAAAACTAGCCCAAACCAACCGCGTTTCGAGGGGTCCCCCGGTAAAAAATTGCGTCCCGGAGACTAAAATACACGTTATTGGGGTCGCTTCAACCCACGGACATGAAAAACAACCCGCGGGAAAACCGCGGACTTGGCAACACTGTGACGGATAGTAATGTCTACAACGGACACGAGCGCTGTCTATTTGGCACGGTCTCCCTGCTGCACTAATAGTAGTAAGGCTTTCCTCTGTGTATACATATCCTTTCGAGTACAATTTTTGCTGTATCATTTGTGTCCCCTTCAAAAATTGCTCTTGAGAAATTTTATGTTTATTGTCCCCCACAACTGTTAGATGAAATTTACGCCCCTGACTGTGAGCATGTTGGATAGAGAGAGTGTATGGATGACTCAATGAACATGAACAGAAAGAGGGACGCAGGGAAGGAGGATAAATGACTCGGCACATTCTTAACATTTGCTTGTCAGTGTCTAACAATGTGATTTAGGACAGATACAAATTGCATACTGCTGGTGTGCTGACTCCAATTATGGGCACCGTTTCAAGCCCACTTCCTGATCACAAACACACTTTAAACTTGTGTAGCCTATGTTTGTTTCTTCATCCTGTATGTGCTTTCAAAGAAAAAGGCGGAATCACAGTTTCTCACATTTAGATTTAGGACTGGATTGGATCATATGGTTTATACACATTGTAGGTCATTTTGGTAAGATAGAATTTGCTAAGAAAATCTGTGTAAATATGAATCTTACAAGATAAAAGATTTTTGTATTTTTTTTGGGGGAAGTTTTATTTCCTGATGAAATTAAATGTTACCCAAATCATAGATGTGTCAAAACATAGTACTGAATATATTCTTATATCATGTGTTTACCATATACAAAAATCTACACTGAAATCTGAACAGCTCAAATCATTATATTATATTATTATATGCTAAAAACATATGTAATTTGCTGAGTTTTTAGGGACAGTCACCTGAACCATAAATGGCATGTAACTATTCACTCTAAAGCCACAGGGAAATGATGTCATGACAATATCGATTTGCTGTCGACTGCAAAATAACACCTGAGCTACAACGTCACAGGCAGGGAAAAAAATATGTCCATTTCACACTTTTAAGAGCTGTCTAAAAAAGAATCAGGCACTGGTAAAGCATCTACTATAATAAAATGAAACATTATTAATATATGTTTCTTGCGATAAAATTTCTGTAGTCAGAATATATGGTTAATTTGAAATAGCCATCAATCAATCTATCTTTCTCTTTCCCATTTTTTTCCTAAGGTCCTTGCATGGCAAACCTGGCACCATGCATCAGTAAACTAAACAAACAACATTAAATACATCAAACAATTCAACAAAACATCTTGCCCCTAAGCTCCTCCATATGCAAGAGCAAGTGAATGTGTCTAAAGACTTTAAAAGACCAAGTGTACAACTTCTAATCTCAAGAGGCAGATTAATCCAAAAAGAGGAGCAGCAACAAAGAAGGCACAATCTCCTTTAGGCTTGAGGCAAAATTGAGGGACAGTTAGCAACAATCTTCAGGATGACCTAAGCAGCCTTGATGTCTGATAAATCTGAAGAAGGTCTGAAATATATTGAGGGGTAGGCCATTCAGAATCTTATAAGAAAACCTTAAACTGCACCCTATAGCAAACTGAGGCCAAAGAGGCCTGCACTGGAAAAACGCTAACCTGTTTTATAATCCCAGTCAGAAGCCTAGTTGCTGCATTTTTTATAATAGCTGAAGATGATACAACAACGTCATCGGAAGCCCCAAATACAGGGAATTACAATAATCCATCCCAGAATTCTTGAGGAACCTCAGAAACTTCTGTCCTTCAAATATGAACAAAACCATTTAAAGGTAAGGTAGGCAAAACATTTTTTTACAGATATATTTTTTGTTTTACCGGTTGAAAGTCTCTTCACATCCTGATAGCAATAAATAATTAATGTGATCTTATATATATATATATATATATATATATATATACACATACACACAGCTAGACAGAAACCTAAAAGTCTTTCTCCAACTCTGTCCAAAGTATTGATGTGATGAAACACTGCAAGCTAAACATGACTACCTTGCAGCACTCATGTCTCCAAAAACCGAGCCTCATTAATCTGGTTATATTGCACTATTTGGTGTAAACAGCAAATCAATGTCTGTGCAATGTGTTCATTGTTTGCAGCACTGGAGAAGCGTGACGCAAAGGAGTTGAAGTTTAGTCTGCAGATGCCTTTGTCTAAATATGTTAATAAACCACATCACTGCATAACAAGACTAAACATGACTATGCTGAATTCAAGTGTAGATTTGTGTATGTGTTAGCATGCAAAAAGTCAGTGAGCCCACAAGCTAAGAGAAAATTAATCTCTCATCTCTGTCATATGAATAATAAACTGAAAGCCAAACAACAAATCTGTAAAACCTTAAAAAGCCATCTTTCTCTGATGAGAAATTAATGAGCTGTGACAAAATTTCAAGCATTTTAACGATTTGCGTGTCACTACATGAGGCCTGTTGATGGCTGTTGATGGCTTCCCATGTCCGAGACATTCTGAGAGGGGCGGAGCACAGCTGGCCCTCCAGGCTGTCCTAAACTGAACAGCCAATCCAGACCGAGATAACATCTGGAGTGGCAGGTGAGCGTGCCACCAGTTTGACAAATGACACCAATTAAACCATTACAGAGCAAGACAGAGGACAGATCTGTGGCACTACAGGAAGAGAGCTGATATGCACACATCATTAACATTGATTCATTTAAGTAGTGCTACATTCAGCACTAATTGATCAAACCTAGAGAAATTGTTCACCAGACTGTAAGGAGCGGAAGGCCATTGGATTTTACAGCATACAGTTGATTCCCCCATTTAACAGATACAAAAGCTCTGACCCCTGATCCCAATTAATGCATTTGGAACACAGATACACAAGATAATTACTAACTGCAGCCGCTTCACACCGAAGCTGTTTGTTTATCTTTTGTTTTGATCCTCTTTGTTTGTTTTCCTCAGTCTCATTCTGCAAACATCCATATAATGGACATTCTTAGATTCTGGATCCAATTAGCAGCCTCTGAAATCAGCAGTGTTAAGTATTATTTATATACTATTTATTAATATTTTGAACTAGCTTATATTTTTATATTTTCAGTTTTCATTTGAGTTTAAATTGAAGTAATATTATGTGCTTTTGTCATTTTTATTTAGCTTTTATATTCATTTTCGCTTTAGTAATTTCAAATAAACGTATTTTATTTTTCAACTTTTTTCAGTTTTATTTCAGGTAGTTGCCAAGGCAACATTTAAATTTTTTAAGCTGATCTTTTTTTAATCTAATATTTGTATTTTATTTGAGCTTTATTTCAATTGATGAAAACAATTTTATTAATTTTGGTTAACAATAACAACAACCCTAACGTCAATATTAAAACTAAAAGTATGTTAAGTATGCATGAAGTATTAATACAAACTAGACTTACTACACCTGACCTACAACATCAGCTGCATCAATGTTCCCTGCCATTAACAAATATGACATTCCTCTCCTATGGCCTCATGGAATAGAAAAGCGTCCATGAAAATCTATATAAATTAAACATACTGTTGTTATTATTAGTTATAAATATAATAATAATTTCAAAATGGCATAAAACAGCTGTTTTTCTTAATCTTCATCTCATGTGAGTGCACATCATTTACATAATACTTATAAAAACACTAGTCATTTTTTTCTTTAGGCATAAAACTTTAATTATCAAAAATGACTGAGTGTACCTTTAAGGATAAATAGATCAAAGTTTGACTGGTGGAAACAGTGAGGCATGGGAGGACACGTTACCACACTTAAACCCTTTAACAGGTGCAGGTGTGTTTCAGGCTGCAGACATGAAGCAACACAAATCTGGGAGCGTTTTTGGGCTTAGTCACTTCACATTCACTGGGCTGAGCTCCCGAAGAGCGCCGCGCACTGAATTACGCACAGGGAACGCAGCCGCAATCCTGCGTAATAAGGTTAATTGGAAACAGTCAGCACGATGAGTATGAATTAAAAGTAATTGTGATCTTACCGTGTATTTGTAGAGTTCCAATATACAACGTGTCTCTTTGCTGTCATTGACATAACGTGTGTAAACAGCGCCAGAAGTCTCATCATAGCGCAAACTCCAGAACACCTTGGCACATTCATGACTGATGTCGACCAGCTCTTGTGGGTCGCTGATGAAACGAGTTTAAACTGAGATGAGACTCAGTTCCGAGTCAAAACCAGCTGCAGAACTTTACTAGGCGAGAGGAGAAACACAAATCCCGGATTTTAGTAACATTGAATGCTTTCACTAAGCAAAAGACGCATGTTCTGCTTACTAAATGCAACAGGAGGTTGCATGCTTAAGTTTATAAAGATACAAAGCACATGTTGACGTTTGAGACAAGTTCATAAAGAGATTCTTGCGATTCCTTGTGACGTTTAGTATTTCCTTGTGAAGATCTGCTAAGTATTCCACTTTACGCTGACATAAATATAACTTCCTTTTCTTCAAATGTAAATCCAGTGCTGGTTTATAAGGTCCAAGTTTGACAACAACTCCAAACTTTTCATGAAAGGATAAGGAGACAATTGTTTGTATTCGCAGGACGCTCTCAATCAAGGCCGTTGATAGTTGACAGTGATTAGGAGTGACTGGAGTGCGTTTCTGTGCAGGGAGGACACGGGGGCGTGTCCTTCAAACTTTGAACCAATCAATGATACAGGGGGTGGGACCAACATTCCATAGTTTTTGAAGGTGTGCTGAGCAGAGCCCTGAGAGCTCCACTTTCACTGAATGTGGGACAAAATACTTTCAAGTAATCCCCCCCCCCCCTGAACCTTTTGCCCCTG